TTTAACTCCGTTTGCTTTTCGGTAGAAATGGGGAGAAACCGAAATACACTCTCAATGGTAAAATCAAATTGAAAGCCATTTGTATTAGTTCTTCTTTTGTTTTTAGTGTATGATGAAAACATTTAATACTTTAAGATCGATAAACTAAAAAGCAGTTAATTTATTTATTCTAAATCTTTTTTCAAAAATATAACTCCCCTTACAGATATTTACGGAAATTCAGGCAAACTTTTTAAAGATAAGTTTTAACTTATTTTCGTGGATTATATGCGCTGTCAAAGACTTAACTATGGATCCTACGAGTAAGGGTATTAAAAGGGAATTTACTATCAAAGACTCCGGACAGCAGAAGTGAAATAATATTTACCCCAACCTCAGGGGGTAAGAAATCGGTTGGGGAAGTGCAGCTAAAATAATTTGCGCATAATGAAGCCGGAAGTGTGAATGCAAAAAACACAAGAAAAGTGGAGAAAAGAACTTCATTACCTGCGCCAAGCAGCTCGCCCAGAAAGAGGAAGTGGAAATTCTGCTTTGGTCGAGGCATTCAAGCAGGGAAAACTACACAAAAATCTTTGCTCGGATTTTCTAATTAAAGTTTCAGCAAACGGAACGCGGCGCCAAAGTGAAATTAATGGCGCTGCCATTTTAGCCAGACCGGGTTTTTCCATTTCCGCCTATTTGCTTGGGTTTGTGTATGTGTGTGTGTGTGTATGTTTGTGCCTTTATGAACTCAACGCTGGCAGCGTTTGTGGCCACTTAATCTGTTCTCTCACTCGATCTCGGGTATTACCCGCTCTCCTGCCCCAAACGCCTCGGTGTGTGCGTAATTTATTTGCAATCAATGCGGCCGGAAAGGACATTATTTTTACATTAAAGCAAGGGCTAAGAGCGTGTGCGAGAGAGACTGCCAAAAGTTGGCCGAAAATCCGTGCCAAAACCCCCAGTCAGCCACCATTTGGCAGCTGTCACATAATACATCTCATACCGAGCAGTCATAAATAATGCGGGAGAGTTATGGACTTCTAATAGGAACAGATTGTATTAGCTTGGGTTGACTGAATAAGCTTTTCGAATTTTCGGTGGGAAGTTTGCGGGTGCAAAAATAATATGTTCGGTTTTGTAGGGGCAATTATATTATTAGGGGGAAATATATTAAGGTATAATATATAATAACCTTTTTTTTATTTAAAAAAATAATATATATTAAATGAGTTGTAAATTAATTAATAAATATGTTCATATAATTTATTTTTTCATTGTTTTCTTAAGCATTTACATTAAATAAATTTAGTTAAAAATGCCAATTTCTTTTATTTTAAAAAAGTTTGTTATTATTACTATTATTATATAATACATATAAATATTTTTATTTTTTGTGTATAAGGAACACAGTATCTTTGCGGGAGCTTGTAGGAAAAGTTGTCTGGGAATCATCTGTGACATGTGATATCTCACATTTGTGTGTTTCACGTTAATGTGAGTTTCATTAGGCTGAACGGTCGGTCGCTCCCTTCCCTTTAACAGCGGCCATTGCTCCTGGGCTTATGCTATGGGTGAGTGTGTGTGTGTGTGTGTGTCTGGGAGAAAGAACTGACAAACTCCACGGAAAGTTTCTCGAACCCCGGGCACGTATCGTATGTCATAAGCAGGGAAAGCGGCTTTCGACTTTCGGGTTTCGGGAGCGGCGACTGCAGCGGACACTGCAGTTGTGCTGTTGGAAATAAAATTATTAACCCCGCTGCAATGCAACATAAATAGGATTAGTGTCTGCAGCAACTGCACAAGGAGAACAAACACGACTTGGACTCGGCGAAGGAGACGCCGGAGAAAGGCCACAACAAAGGCAGCCAGCAGCATTTGCATTTGCATGTTGCATACTTCACGGCGCAGTGCTCACATATGATAAACGGCAACGACAATGCACTATGGGGCAAACGACTAGTTTTTGTTACATTAATTAATAACTTGAAAACTAATCAACCTTTTTGTGATCTGTTTTTTGATTCGAGTTAATAAAAAAATAATGCATGTTTTTAAGAAAAAAAGGCGTGGCTTCACCCATTTTTTAGATTAAAAAATTTTTTTTAATTAATAATACTAAAAAAAAAAAATTTTTGTTTTTATTTTCTGACTAGAATTATTAAACAAAACAATTTAAAAAAAAATCGTTGTTCTAACTTTTTTTAATGATTATATCGATTTTTTTTGTATTTTGCGGAACACTTTTTTAGACCCTGTTACATAAAACTATAAAACTTTACTTTTAGTTAATATGTTTATGTTTTTCAGACTTATTTTTCATGGTCCACCTGGTTCTTAGCGTTTTTTATAGTAAAAAATGTTTGCGAGCTTGGCCAAGTGCCATTTCTTCTCTCAAACTGTGTTAAATTTCTATTGCTAGGTTAGCACCTTAAAAGTTAAATTTTGAAGAAAGTGCGCAAAAGTGCACTTTTATATTAACTGAGTATAAGGAGAATTGATCACTCTACAAAATAAAACAAGTTTTAGAGCTGGACTCCGCTGGACTCACTTTGTTGCTCCATTTAAAAACAAAAATGTAAGACTACGTTTCAATTTTTTTGAGGTTAGAACTTACACAAGATTATAGGAACGCCACAATCAATTTTTAGAATTTAAGCTCACAAACATATACTCCAAACCATTCTGAATCGACTTCCATTCACACATTTTACAAAAATTGGTTTTAAATGCGCTTTTTAAACATTTTAAAGTTTGAACAAATACAAACGATTTTACAGCATGTGCTTCTGTTAAAAAACAGCTGACTTTGACAGCTGATATCTTAACAGTGGTGCGGTCTGTTAAAATTTTAAGTACGTAACATTTTACCTCAATGTTATCTTAACTCATTGCGATTAAACAAAATTTTTTTTACCGACTTTTATAAAATGGGTTTTGGCCACAAAATGTGGGCAAATGCCCCATAGTGCAATGCCACAACCACAAAACCAACACACCAGCACACCAGTACATACACACACACACACTCACTAGCACACTCGTATCTATGTCTGCGGGTATTTCCTTTTTCTGTATCTGGCTCGCATTCGTTTTGTCTTTGTTTTGGCCAGGCAAAAATGCAGCTGAGTATTTTCAGCTACATGCAAAAACTTCATTTCATTTCTGCGGCTGTCGTCCAGTGTATTGACCCCTAAACGCCCTCCACACACACACACACACACACAAATAAACTCACTTTAGCAGACAAACATACACACACACACAAGCATTAGTGACAAAGCCATTCCATTTTACTCACACCCCCTGCCATTTCGACACCATCGCGGTTTTTGCAAGCATTTTGTTTGCTTTGCGGCTTCCGGTTTCTGTTCCCGTTACTCTTTCTGTTCCTGTTTGCAATCCGGCTTTAACCATTCGCAATCGTACCCCAAAAAGTCAACTGCCCTGAGCTCGATTGAGTATTTACCCAACCAGCCGGTAGGTTTTATTTAAATATGAATACGACGCTGCTTCATAATTAAGCCGGCAATCGATCGACTTGCCCGCCAGGTATTTGCCACTTGAAATCGAATCAGAAACCGCCGTGAAATGCCAGCGGCCAGTCAACGAGGCGATTTTACAGCACGAAATCTGAGAAAAGAGCCTGTCGTAAAATAAATTGTGTGCATTTTCCACAGCACTTAAGTACAATTCAATTTACGTGTTGTTTTTAACAGATAAACATTTATCTGTCGGGTTTTTACTACATTTTAATTAAAAAGAGAAAGAAGATTTGCTAAAAATATTCTGAAATTTTTTTAGATCTAATGCTAAATTGAATTTAATTCCTATTCCTATTCCCTATTCCTTTAAATTATTACAATAAGTAATAAATTTTTTCCGTGACAATATATGATACATTTTTCTTAACTCTTATTTTGATCCTAAGTAACTCAACAAAGAGCAAGCGAGATAGAAACTCGGCAGCCGTGCGGTCTGTGCTTGAAAAATTAACGCGGAAATGCCAAAATGTTGTGCATACGCCCCGTTGCTTGCATGCAAATTTCATATATTAAGCCAGACAAGGGGACGGTGTCGCGAAGAAGTAGGGGAGTGCGGTAACTTGTTGTGTTTGGCTTGCATGGTCGACGGCCATAATTGCAACATGCCGCGCAAACACTCACACGCAGCGCAGCGGGCGACTTGGGACCTTAGCCAAGTCAAACAAACCGCAGGGCACAACAACAACCACAAAAAAAAAAAAAAAAAAAAAAAAAATCAGAAAAAAAATTGAAAACGAAGGAAAGCCAAATTTCTAGTTGTGCTTCGAAGTGAGTGAGGAGGGGAACCTTTGTGGCACTGTGAAACTTTTGGCAGGGTGTTGTTATAACTTAATGTGGCCAACTCGTGTGGCATTTGTGAGTTGAGCACTCGAAGAAAATGGAAAAGTTACTGGTACTGCAATGGTATGACAGCAATGAAAAATTTATGGGAGAGACAACTGTTGATCATTTGTTGTTCAACAAATTATCCAAATAAAATAAATGGGTTACTATGTATAGTTTTTTGTAAAGTTCATTACTACTTTTTTTTATTTTTTGGCTTCCGTTGGAAATACTGCTTCTTCAGAGAGTTTTCATCTCCATTTGGAGAAAAGTCAAATTCACAGACGAAGGATTATGATTTTTGGAAATCTGGTCGTCCAAATTAACTAAGCAAACTGTTTTCGGACTGATTATAAAAAAAAACATTCTATATTGTCTTACAAGCTTAAAAGATATGCCGCTTCTTATTCTTGCTATGATCAAAATAGGGTACTTTTAGAGCGAATTCAGGACCAAGATTTTTACTACAAAAAAATCCTCTTCTGGGTGTTTAAATATAATATTTTTGCCGGTTTATAACAATTTTTTTCGGTGCATCAAATAGAATATATAAAGACCCTTCCCGGAGCCCATTTAACTGTCCGCAGTTCCGAGTTTACGACAGCTGCACTAAATATATCCCGTTTATAAATTTTTTCCCATTTTTATTTGCAGGCCTTCGGCGGCACGTCGGCGGGATCCTCTTAACCGCAGGTCGATTATGCGATGGCAGCGGGAAGAGCCGCCGCTATGCTGGAGGCTCCGGGTCCGCCCAGCGGTCAGGACATAGCCAGCGACAACAGCGCCCAGCGACGCACTCTATCCACGAAGGTGCGTCGAAAAGGGCCACGCCCCCAGCGGCGCCTGCACCCGCCCCTGCGTCGCGCACCCCCGCCCCGTCGGCCGCTCCACCTGCCACTCCACCTGCAGCTGCTGCTGTGGCTGCTCTACTGCTGCTGCTGCCACCTGGGGCAGCTGAGGGCCGAGTGCCCGGCGGTGTGCGAGTGCAAGTGGAGGAGCGGCAAGGAGTCCGTCTTGTGCCTTAACGCCAACCTGACCCACATCCCCCAGCCGCTGGACGCGGGCACCCAGCTCCTCGATCTCAGCGGTAACGAGATCCAATCGATCCCCGACGATAGTTTCGCGGCAGCCCAGCTGCTCAACCTGCAGAAGGTTTACCTGGCCAGGTGCCACTTGCGACTGATCGAGCGGCACGCCTTCCGCAAGCTGATCAACCTGGTGGAGCTGGATCTGAGCCAGAACCTCCTCTCGGCCATTCCCTCGTTGGCTTTGTACCACGTTTCGGAGTTGAGGGAACTCCGGCTGAGTGGCAATCCCATTTTGCGAGTGCCGGATGACGCCTTTGGTCACGTTCCACAACTGGTGAAGCTGGAGCTGAGTGACTGCAAGCTTTCCCACATTGCTGTGCGGGCCTTTGCCGGACTGGAGAGCAGTCTGGAGTGGCTGAAGCTGGACGGGAATAGGCTGAGTGAGGTGAGGAGCGGCACCATCACCTCGTTGGCATCGCTGCACGGTTTGGAGCTGGCGCGCAATGCCTGGAACTGCAGTTGCTCCTTGCGGCCGTTGAGAGCATGGATGTTGCAGCAAAACATTCCCAGTGGCATTCCACCAACCTGCGAGTCGCCTCCAAGATTGTCCGGCAGAGCTTGGGATAAGCTCGATGTGGATGACTTCGCCTGCGTTCCTCAAATCGTGGCCACCGATACCACGGCTCATGGAGTGGAGGGTCGCAACATAACCATGAGTTGTTATGTGGAGGGAGTTCCTCAGCCGGCGGTCAAGTGGCTGCTGAAGAACCGCCTGATAGCCAATCTCAGTGCTGGCGGGGATGGGGACTCCGACTCGGAACCGCGAACCGCTGCAGCCACGCAGGGCAGGAAGACCTATGTGGTCAACATGCTGAGGAATGCCTCGAATCTGACCATTCTCACGGCTGACATGCAGGATGCGGGGATCTACACGTGTGCGGCGGAGAACAAGGCAGGGAAAGTGGAGGCCAGCGTTACCCTGGCTGTTTCCAGGAGGCCTCCTGAAGCTCCCTGGGGTGTGAGGATTATCCTGCTGGGTGTTATAGCCGCCCTGCTCCTCGTCGGTGGATCGTCCTTTGCCGCCATTTGCCTGTGCTCCCTGCAGCGGCGAAGGAAACTGCGACTCTGGAACTCCGTGCCGCCGGTGAGGAGGAGCGAGAGCTACGAGAAGATCGAGATGACCGCCAGGACGAGACCGGACTTGGGTGGTGGAGCCAGTTGTGGGGGAGGCAGTGCCACGGGCGCTGGACTCTTCCACGATGCCGAGGAGCAGGGCTACCTGCGAGCGGCGCACACTCCTCTGAATGATAACGATGCGGGACAGGCGGCGGCCATCGTGAATCCGAGTGCGGGAAGCGCTCAGCGGAGGAACGGCGACTACCTGCACGTGTCCACCCACTGCGACGACGAGGAGGAGGAGGGTCAGCAGCAGCAGGTGCACCACCACCCCCAGCCGACGAGCCAGCAGCAGCACCACCCACATCCCAATCAGCAGCAGCAGCAGCAGAGGAAGGGCTCCCAGGGCCACGTTGTCTCCGCATCCGGGGCGAATAATTCAGCGCCGCTGGAGGAAACGGATCTGCACATACCGCGCCTCATCGACATCGGCGGGTGAGTTGACCTACACGGCGAGAAAATATATAGCATTAACGTTAAATACAATTTTTTAAGTATTATGATTTATAATCCTAATTTAGATTCTTTAAATTTTCTTAATATGCTTTTGAATATTATGAATAAATTGATTAATGAGAATAATTATTGTTAAGAAGGAATTGCGTATAAATAATTAGAATACATTAGTATTCAATATTTCTAACTCTCCTCATTAGCATTTGCTTTTCGCTGAGTGTAGGCCTCGGGCGCCCTTTGTTTCTGCGGTTCTCGTTACTTCGAGTGGCAATTGTCCCCCGACCGGGCGTCCGTGTCCCTGTCAAAGAGCTGTCATGCTCGAGTGCGGAACGCGCCCGGATCTCCGTATTGCGTCCGTATTATGGGCAACACTTGACACTTCCACTTTGAGCTCGAGCCCCATTCTCGGTTCTCCCTTCTCCCTTCTCCTGGCCCCCAAACCCCGACCCCAACCCGAATCCCTTCCACTGCCCATTTGCCTCCTTTTCCACCTCCGCCAACTGAAAGAACGCGCGTGCTAATGACGCGCGAAATATGCGAACACATCCACATCCAACATCCAAGACCATATCCACATCCACATCCACGTGCACATCCTCATCCTCATCTTCATCCACATCCACATCCTCATCCACAACCTCATCGTCATCCGAGAAGTGCTTTATTTCGGGCACACTGAGAACTCACTCTGCCTGATTGGCGCTTGTCATGTGAACGGAATTGTACCGCGGCCACGAGTGCGACTGCGGCTAATGGATGTGCGACCGGTATCTTCATGGACGAGGACGCCGACGAGGACACTGCCGAATAACGAGAATCTCAAAAGTCGAGCACTCAACGAATATAGGCATATGCAAGTGGGTGTAGACACAAAGGAGGATTTTTTATTTGCGCCACTCAGAGAGGGATATTACGCAAGGCTTGTGCCAAAAAAATGTGGAAAGTGCTTTTAAAAAATGATAATTTCTGATTTTATTCATTTATAGATTTTTTGGTGAGCCTTTTATCTTCTTTTAATTTAAAGGTGGCCAAATCGTGAAATTTAAATTGGTTGAATAACAATAAAATAATAATAAAGGGAACTGTTGAAGGTTTAATTTACCTATTTCAATGTATGTTTGATTTTTTTCATTTCGAGTATCAATACTTTAGAAAAATAGCTAATTGTAACTTCATTTTTTTACTACCCACAGAACCGATTCCGCCTCGAGTTCGATATCCAGCCAGGTGGACGCGGCTGCCCGCTTAGCGGGATACGCAGGCCACACCTGGAAGACCACGCCCATTGCCACCACGAAAATCAACTCGCCGCACAGCAAGCCAGCGAATGCGGCGGCTCCCTCTTCCCTGAATCCCCCAAGTACGGCCACGCCCTACGCCCACTACGGCAACCATCCGGCGGACGAGATGGCCACCTCGGTGTTCTGCAGCGAAGGACAGGAGAGCGATCTGTTCGACAGCAATTACCCGGATCTGCTGGACATCGCCAAGTATGCGGTGGCCCAGGCGCAGCAGGAGGGTCGTGGAACGGGTTACGCCCAGGCCACGCCCACTCCGAACGGAGGCCTCTGTACACTGCCGCGAAAACTGAAGACCAGCGGCAAGTACTTCCGCAACTCCTCGGACAGTCAGTCGCCTCTGCTGGCGGATAACTCCAGTAAATACGGGAGTAGCACCCTTGGCGATGGAAGTTTCCTCAATGAGGCGATGGGTTTGGGCAGGAGATACTCCGCGGAATCCAGTTATGCGAACTATTCCAGCACAGCCACATACACTGGTGGTGGTCAGCGGGCGAATAGTTTCCTCAATCTGGTGCAGAGTGGCGCCCACAAGGGCAACCTGATGCCGGGTCATCTGGGTCAGAAGCCCAGTTTGCCCTCGAGTCCTGTGCAGCATCAGCGATCGCTATCGAGTGCGGCCACGCCTCTTTTGGACTTCTCCGCCCTTGCCTCGCGGGCAGCTGGAGCGGCCAACTCCTCGGTGGCCGCCTACGACTATCATGCAGCTCAATTGGAGAGATTCCTGGAGGAGTACCGCAACCTGCAGGATCAGCTGTGCAAAATGAAGGAGACCTGCGACACGATTCGGAAAAAGGAGACGCCACTGCGCGTGGCCATTGGCCAGTCGGCTGCCCAGTTGGCCGATCCCGTGATGTACAGTGCAGCCTCGCATAGTCCGGAAACCGCCGGCGGCCAGCAATCTGAAGACGAAGACCCTGTTGCCGGGACAACCGCCGGATCCGCCGCCCTACTGGCTGCACCGCAACGCCATGTTGAAGCGGTTAAACGGGGACGGCAGTGTTGGAGCGAACGGATCCGGAGGATCTCCCGCCTCCCCGCAACCCGGACAGGATATTTTCAAGAGCTAATCGCAATCGTGTACAGCCGGAGGATTGAGTGAGGGAGGAGGAGGGAAATCGATGGGCTTCGGCATGCCGAAGATGGCAGGAGCTAACAGAAGTTAAAAAAAATAATGGCTGATACCAAGAATAAATTTAAAGGTTCCAGAAACAATAATGTAGTTAATTTTTAGAGTCATACAATAATTATTTTAATATAATATTGAATTGATTTCTTTTTTTTAATAACTTATGAAAAATTATTTTGAATGCTACCAAACAAGAAACAAATTGAAACTGCGTTGAATGAATTATTATTTTGAGAACAATTAACTTATACACCTTAATCCCTGAAAGCTCCTGCCCATCGATTAAATGCATTTGTCTGGTTAGTTAGTTAGGCCTAGGTAGCTGGAGGACATTCAACTGGTTCGGTACCCAGCCCCTCTGTTGTATTATAGAAACACTTTTCCACTCTTTATACTCGCTACTACGCAATATTAAACACGACCCCGAAGAAATCGGAAGACGAAGGTCATAAGAAATTGTAAGTGTATAGACAGCAATCCCTAAGAAAAATAAAAAAAAAAAACACTATCTCGAAAACACACCTATCGGAACCTAATTCTAGAATCCCCAAAAAGCTCTCGTGTTAGTCTAACTACAAGTGTTTTTGTACTTTAAGCGATCTCAATATAAACAAGGAAAATATAGATGACCTTAAATATCATAAGTATGAGTTGGCACAGACTGCAGATCGATAGATTGACGTATCGTTTGATTGTTAGATGTTTGTTTTTCAGTTACGCAGTTCAGGTCACAAATTGTAAGCCAATTAGATCCAACCTCTAAATTGTAATTAAAAGCGATACAAAAAACAAAAAAAAAACTAAAAACATATTTTAGGGTGTCACTAAACTAAAACTCGAAAGCATTTCACCCAACCAACAAGAGAAAGCAAAATAAAATTAGTTGAGAATTGAAAGAAAAACAAATAAATGCCGAGCGAGTTTTACTGGATCGAATGGGTTAATCGAGGGGCGTGGAAATGCCCACTTCCGGGGTTAAAGGCAAGTAATTGGCGCTTGTCGTGCCGCATTCACAATTCGCGGGGGCGTTGGTCAAGATTAAACAATCATTTTGGGTGGAAATACCAAAAACAAAAAATAGGTGGAACTGGGCGTGGCAGAAACTTCCTTCCCTTCATGGCGAAAACTACGCCAATTGGTTCGGCGTACATTTCTTTTATTTTCGCCTCGCATTCCGGCTGCCAAATGAAGTTGTAAAATGCAAATGAAGCCGTCGCCGTAGTCACATGCGCGTTAAAGTTCATGTTCGATGTGATGTCGCCATAAAGCAGGATTAAAACGAATTTATGAACCTTTGGCACGACGACAACGACGACATGATAGCCGTTTTATACCTCTTCCCACACCACATCCTTCGCACTCCAACGCACACACATACACATGCACAATGTCGTACAGGAGAGCTCGTGACTTTGTCTTTGGGCTGCAAGGCATTTGCACAAAAGCGTTGCCTACTTTTCCCGGATACATTGTGTGAAATGTAAAACGCTCAGGCCAACCTGAATCTGAGCCAATCCTCCTGTGGTCTCGGTCATCAATAGCTCATTTGGGCCTTGTTCGTGTAAGCTCATAAATATTTAAGCCTCGTCTTAAGAGTGGGTAAGCAGTAAATATTTTAAGAACGCAACAGAGTCAAGAGTTCCAATAAAAACACAGTTTACAAGGTCATCCATTTTGTAAATAATTTTTTAAGAATTTATGAAGAGCTATAAATCATAAAAACTTGCATACAAAAATATTAAATTCAAAAGTTGTTTCTGAATATTTGAAAATAACTTTATACAAAGTTTTTTTAGGCGCTTTTCTTTCCATAATTATACACCTCACACTTTCAATCATTTTATCAGCTAATTTCCCCCTGTAATCTCGATGCCGTTCCGTTGGCCTTGATTTATACGTGAATAACATGTAATTAAGCTATGACTGGCTGATAAAAGTCCGGGTTGGCTTATGAATTTCAAGCACGCAGACGTGTCAGAAGGCAAAAGTAACCAAAAATGGCTGCCCATTTAAGCGAACTCCATCTGCCGGAGGGCGAGTTTGTTAGTTGATGTTACTTACCGTGGACCGAGCCCAGCCCTTTGCGGTTTGTCGGCTTTAAAGAGCAAAGCCATTTACATTCTCCCCCTTTTTTATATATATATTTTTTTTTGGGGGGAAACCACCCACCTGACCGCCTGCTGTCCGGCTAAAGCGAAAATAATGAGCCTGATGTTGGATCTCGGCGTGAAGCAGAGTAAAGAGCAACAACGCTGAGAGCAGTCGAGTTCATGTCAAGCTGTCAGTCAAGGTCGATTTCGTTTGCCACCCGCTCCTCCTCCTGCTGCCTCTCCTGCACCTGTCAGTAGCAAAAAGGATAAAGGAGGTGTGGGGGAAGGGGGGAGGGGAGGGTGTGTAGGGTCGGCAAGTGCCTTTTTGTCACTGTCTTGCGGCTGCCAGTGCAATTTTTATATATGTGGCCAGAGCAGGGTATAAGGGATATATACGTATTTTAGGAGAATTTTTAACAAATTTTAAGCACTTAAAATAAACTTATATTCAAAAAACGGTAGAAAGCATATAATCAAATATTACAAAATAAATGTTTTGATCCGTTAAATATTTTTTACAATTCTTTATTTCCTGTATTTTATACAAGTGTTAAGAGCCTCTGTAAACTCCATATTCCCTAAGGCTTTTTTGCCAAGGCGGTAAAGGACTTTTAAGCTGAGTACCAACTAGTTGACTCCCCGGGCAGATAAAGCGATGAGCGGAGCTAACGGAGCAATGTGTGTTATGTGGATGTGCAGAGGGAATTTTTCCATCATTATCAGTGTCCTTGTAGCCGCTTCCACATGCCACTTAATGCCAACGCACCAGCAGAACCAGCAGAGCCAACAGAACCAGCTCTCGTCCCACTTTTGCATGTCGTTGTCGTCGTCGTCGTCGTCATCTTGGCGGCCTTTGTGGTGGCATCACACAACTGCATACCGCCCACAGTGAACCACCCACCCCCATCCCATCCCATCCACCCCACCTACCATCCACCTCCCAATGCCATTCTTCAAGCCTCCCACAACGACCATTATATTCAAGCATTTTCGTGGCATAAGTTGGCACTTTAGCGCCAGGCAGCTGCTACCTGTTTCAGTTTTTCAGAAGCTCTCTCCTCCGCTTTTTTGCCGCTGCTTTGTTTGTTTTTAGCCAGCATCAATTGCTGCCTTCACGTGGTGGCCAATTTTTCAGGGGAAAGGCTAGCAATTCCTGCAAGATCGTAGTAAGGGTATCGATTGGTCTTGAAGGGAGATCTAAACTTTGCGCGGTGCCACATTCAGCCGCAAAATGCCAATTGATGGCCTTCAGACGGAGATGAATATTTCATATTACACAGAAAAAACAAAAAAAAAATTAATAAACCGAAAAAATATAAAAATATACGATAATATATGTAACAATAAATCAACTCAATATAATATGTAAAGATTCAATTTCTCAGCTTTAATAAATCAGTGGTTTCAATTAATAATAAAAATATAATATAAAAAACGCACTTTTAAGATAACTTTTTTTTTGTTATTTTTTTCAGCCTGTCATTTATTTTTCAATTGGCCACATTGGCAATCGATATGAGAGGAGCAGGAAGGAACAGGAAGAGGCTGCCGCCTGCTTAATGTGCTGCTGCCTGCTCTGTTTCCCCCATCAGCATGAAAAAACCCCTCTTTCAGGACGCCGCTGCTGTCGTCCTTTTTAATGGATGTTGCATTACTTTCCGAGGCAGCTGTACGAACAAAAAACTTTTCCAACGGCGAAAATTGAAAAATAGTTTCGCCTTCGCTCGCAAACGAAACACAAGCGAGCTGGGCAAAAGTTGCACCCGAAAAGTTAATGGCAATTGCATTTATTGATTAGCTACGGCAAAAGTGGGAGTGGGATGTATCAAGTTTGCCCCTAAATGCCACTTGGATTTAATTTTCCTGTTTGGCTAAGCCAGCAGATATTGTCCTCTCAACCGCAAGTTCAACAAGTCAACGCATCAATGTCAAATAATCCTCTGCTGGCGAAAAAGAAACCAGTGGCGGGAAAGGAAGGGGGTTATCTGGCATTCAATGCGCCTGCGGTTGAGAGAGAGGATGCAAGGACACCGGTAACATAAAACAAACTCAAGCTGCAGTGTCACTGCCACGCCCCCAATTCCCCCCGTACCGCCCCTTAAGTGCTGGTAATGAGCGCACTGATAATTCATTAAACAAAGCGGGGCCAAAAGGAAGGCGACGGCCGAAAAAAAAAGTAAAATCCGAGCGCAAAAGCTTGGTGGAAAAATGTCAAGGATAATGTGCCAGCGCTCTGCTGCCGGAAATGAAATGGTAGCACGATTTCAGCTTTAATTTCATTCGTTTGCATGCCGAAATCCGTGGAAGGACAGATAGTTTTGTTGAAATGTTTTCTGCTGCCGAAATTCATTTTAAAATTACAGAGCTTCGTGATTGGTTTAAATCGTAAATGCAATTTGGACGGCATGAATTTAACGTTTTGCTTATTGGAATTTAATAAAAACGTATTTTACAAAAATCTTTACCTTGAAATCCAGATCGCAAATTGATAAAAAAAAAGAAACGATTAAATATTTGGCATGCAAAAACATCTATATATATGTAAGTATTTTTTAGGACTCAATTTTTTCCCAACAACTATTCCATTTGTAAATTCCTTTTGCGCTGGCCAATCTGGGTCAATCTAGGCCACACCTGGCGACTGTCACTCATGGCCAAAAGCCGAACCACGCTAAGCTCTCAGTGCGGCCAATTCCTCAATGGCGAGCAATTACAAAGGACGAAAGCCGGGAGCCACTTTAATGAAAACTTTGCCCGGCGCTTAGCGGTTTTTGGCCAAGTTGCAGCGGGTAATCAGCCATGTTATGGCAGTTGCTAGTCCTCGGGATCTCTGGCGGTTACGGTTTGCCGTCGGTTCGAAAGGATTATGGCCTTGCAGTGCACTTGAAATTTGTTGTTTGCCAGCAACAGGATAATCTGACGGCCATCTTTTTTACTCCTGCCTTTTTTTTTGTGGCTCTATCTGGTGCTTTGCTTTTTGTTTGTATTGGTTTCGTCGCCTCCGTTTCGTTTGAGCTCGGCCCAAAACGAAAAGGCTCAAATTGTGGCCCCAAAAACTTTGTGCCAGGTTTTTGTCGGCCGCAGTTATTCGCCGCTTTTGTTCGCGACTCAGCTGCATCGCCCGGCTTTGTTGGCCAGCTTTTCAGCGGCTTCATTTTGCCGGGGTTACTTTAATTAAGCGAGCCGAGTTAAATGCAAGCTTTACGCGAAAAATGTCAATCAGAGCGCGGTATCAAGATTGCACTTCTCGCAACAATTTTGGCCACTACGAAAAATATCCACTCCATTCAACTAATAACAAAAAAGGCGGGGAGCGGAGTGCAATTGTTACGCTTGAAATTCAGTTGAATATTCTGCGCGGGCGTGTGTGCATTTAAATTGAATTTTATGAAATTGTTGCGAAAGCAAAAGGCGAAAAAACGCCGGCCACTCAACTGAGTGTGAAAAAAACCTAAATTTCGAAATACCCTTTTCTAAATAATAAAAGATTTTTTTCAACTTACTCCAAACTCAATAAGTTTAGGTATAATTTGATAAAGTCAGCAAAACATAATTGTGAACCTTTAAACTCATATTCTGAATATCTGAGTTGAAAGCCACCTGAAAATTGAGAGCTGTCCCACTTTTGAGGTGAGCCAATGTGCGGCGGACAGCTTTCAAATGTACCCGTAGTTCGTTGAAGTAGCCAAAACTGCCGGAAGCGCAACACTCTGCGCCAAAAGTAAGGCGCCACCCACCCATATGCAAAACTTATATTCGTCTATATATATGTGTGTACTATATGTATGCAGGGCGATACAGACACAATGCAAAGTA